CGATAAACTATCATTACAATCAATCCAAGACCAAGCACACCTTTTTCTCGAAGTTTTTAATGGAACAAGAGAAACACCGGTTAAAAGAACTCTGCCTCATTATACAAAACTATACCAAAATTGTTGGGATCTCATACCTGAAAAATGCTCTGATATAGAAAATATTGTCAATGATTTAACTGCAATTTTACTTGATTTCCAAATTGGAATTAATATACATACAACAAACAAATCATCGCATAATTTAATGCATGATTTGATTGGTTACATTTTTTTTTACAAAAACAAATTATTTATATATGCATAATAAAATAGCTCTTATTTAATCGCTATTTTATATGCAACAAGCAAATCATTGAATTTATACAGGATTAAGATAGTAATAAATAAATAGAACAATAGAACAATAGAATAGAGCAATAGAAATTAGAACAGTATATAATTTTTATCAATAGAACAAGAAATTGACAACTGATTATTACGTTGTGCATATAAATGTAAATCAAATCATACATTAAATAAGTAAACAATTAATAATAAATAATAATTCAAAGTGTCATTAATAATAAATGATAATAAATATCACAGCTGATGCTGATATTCACATGACATCTAGTCAAAATTATTTACTGTGTCATATATTTTTGACTGCAAGCTATGATATAACTTAGAACTCAGTTTACTATCATATACCCAAGGGCCGTATGAAAATAGACAGAGGTCAAAATAATTGAAAAGTGAATAATAAAACAGATATAGAATTTTTTCTTTTAAAAACCAACAGCTGTATAAGTTTTCTTTTTATATTAATTATTGTAGCGAAATTTTTATTGGCGAGTCAAATATTTTATTTGGAAAGTATAACTAATACTAAATATTAATAGGTATATAGTCTAAATAGTTATATAACCTTCAATAGTTATTCTTCTATTTCTATATATGATTCAAAATTTATCTCGTAAGTACAAAAATAATCTTTATATCTCTCTAATTAATATTTTAAACCACATTTTATGTTTCTAACATGACAAAAATCAATTATTTCTCTCTCACTATCTTTCTGTTTTTCTACGTCTAATCTCACTATTTCTATATATCTTAAATATTTAGCTTTTTCAATAAATTTTCTTAAATTTTGAAGTAGATCAAGTTTAACATTAAAAGGTAGTATAAAAACTTCTAACTTCACCATTTATATATCTAAAGCTTGTAAAAAATAATTCAAATTTTCATAACTATAATCATAAATATTAAGTAAGCTAAGAATTTTTAAAGAGTTAGGCAAATATCTGATTAAGGTCTGTAGATAATCTTGACTACTATAAGGAATATTATAATAAGCAAATCCTCCTATTTGTAGTTGACAAAGCTTATAAAATTTTTTAAGAGTAGAAGAGAATGTAAAATTATCAGTCATATAACATAAAGTAGTTATGTTTGGATAATTTTGACAAAGCAAAAAAATAAATTCCTCCTTTACTTCATTACTTAATTCTCTCTCATTTATTATAAAAAATTTTAATGATTTGTATTTTGTCTTTAGTATAATTCTATTTAATTCTATGTCATTATCTACTAATTTGAGTCTTTGAAGATTTTGTAAATTATTTTGGTCTACTCCAAAAGGATTTCCAAAAGAACGTTTTATTGATAATACTTTCAAGTTTGGTACAAGATTTGCAAGATTATCTTTATCAAACTTGATTCCTTGTAAAATTAGTTTTCTAAAGCTTTGAGATTTTACTTAAAGCATTTCGTGTTGTAGTAAAGGTGTAAAATTAGTTGTACTAAAATATTTTAGCTCAAATTCTTTGAGTTCAGTTTGAGTTTTAATTAAATTTAAAAATGGTTCTTGGCAATTTGGTGGTATATCTTCATTATATGTCATAATACGGATGGTCTGAATTCTTTTGTTCTGTATTGAAATCAAGTTAATATAATTGTATACATTTGTGTTTTGACTATTTGAAACAACAAATTTAAATTCGCAGTCTCTCAGTTTTGATAAATAGAACTACGAGCTGGGGATTAAAGGAACTATTGAGCTATCTCCAGTTATTGAAATATAGAATTTATTGACTTTCTTATATCTTTGAAATAATATGCTTTGGATAGCCACAAAGGTTGAAGTTTCTAAACTAGGCTTAGATATATCCTGAGTATATTGATACCACAATGAGATGACATTTTTTAACTTGTAGCTTAAATATGTCTTTATAAATTCAGTATATTCAAATAAAGTTTTTTGAAAAGACATGATAGGTCAACTTGATACGTGCTTGAGATCAATTAATATTTTTTATTTTCATTAAGATAAGAAAGATAAATAGATATAACATTTATGGAATGTTTAGATATATCATACAAAGGATCGGCCTATAACAGAGGTACAGTAAAATGGCAAAATGTGTGATCAACTAAGAGACAATTATATAAAGTATGGTGGTCATATTCAAAGTTTTTAACAATTTCTAAATAACACTTATTTGTTAATTTCATTTCGATATATTTCAATATATTTCAATATATCACAAAATACTATTATATAGAATATACCATATTGTCTCGAAATAACACTTGGGGTAAGTCAAAATGTTGGCCCGAATTAAGCCTTAATTTGGCCTAAATAAAGCTTAATCCGGGCCAAACTTTTGAACTACACCTTGTGTATTATTTCGAGACAACGGTAATGATAACTTATCA